CCGGGAGCCGGTGCGTGGCCGCGCAGCTGCCCGCGGAGGGGCGATGCCGGTGCTGCCGCCGCGGTACCGCTACTCGCCCATTGTAAACATCTGGGGCTGGGTTCGCACAGACCTCACACGCATTTCATTGTATTTTTTTTTTTTTAAAGAAATTATTTCAAAGTAAAAGTCATAGGGCTGTTTCCATGGCTCTAGTTTTAAGCTCTTCTGTAGCACTAATTCGGCTTTTGGTAACAGCATGCTTCTGGTAATGTGTTTTTAGCTGTCAGCGCTAGAAATGTAACCTTCATTCGGTTTTCCTGCCTGGGCAATCTCAAATTGAGGTAACTGTAGTAAATCACAATATATTGCATTGTAACTCTTAAGTGACTGCGTCCCACTATAGTGGCATTCTGAGAAAGTAAGCTCTGTTATGCAAGTGTTGGAGGAAACTCTGACTTTCTTCACTGGTGGAGAAACACATTTTGGTTCTTGGGTTGTTTTACATAAATCCAGATAAACCTGGGAATAAATCTTCTGTTAAATTAAAACAACTCTAAGTGACTTAAGTAGATCCCTTCTTAGCTAATGTGTAAATTGTGGAGTACTTCAGGTTGCCACGCTTTATGATGGACATTGCTGTTAATTCAGCTGTATTTCTATTAAATACCCATAATATAGGCTTACAAACAGGGAGGAGAGGGCTGCTGTATCATGTGTCACTACTTCACTTGCTCCACCTTGCCGCTTCGTGCTTTATCATGCACTTAATGTTTGTCAAAGCAGCTGAATCTTACCACCTCCCTTTTTCTATTTCATCGAAAGCCAAATTCTTGAAAAACAGAGCTATGATGGTTTCACTTTGATGAACTTGTGTGGAATTGGGTCCTAGCACAGTATTTGTTAGATTACTTTTGTTTGTGGAGGAGGACAACATCATTCCCCTAAAATGAGATTCTGAAAGCTTTGTGTGCATCTCTGAGAACACCAGTCATTCTGTGTAGAACATTGCTGCTGAAAAGGCTGTAAGGAGTCCAGTCTGACAACAGTGTGCTCACAGAAGTAACTACTCACTTGGGTAGTCCCACTTAGCCAGCAGAACTGTTCAGCGAGTGAAGTTGCACGCATGTGTAAGCTTCTGTGAGATCTTGCCAAGAAGAGGTAGAATACACTGAAATGCATATATACATCTTCCTGGTCTTTCAGTCTATATGCAAGAATAACCCCCTGTAAATATAGGTATGATTCTTTTTTCCTAGTTTTCCAGTCAGTGCATCAGAAAGAAGATTGGCATTCTTGGTGATGTCATGGGTATTGTCACATCTGCGGAGTTACCTACTGAAAGAGAGGAAAGTGGAATTTGTTTCATATAAAAGCAAAACAATGTCTGTATTATACATAGTTGTATTCTGTCCCTCAAGTTTGTCTGCACTGAAGAATGGACTCCCATTGCCTTAAAACTTGCAACTTGCTAACCACTCTTAAATCACAAAGTCAGACCTAGTGTACAACATCTGTAAATACAAACCCTTTAGGATCTTGTTAGCAGAAGATAAGTCAAACAGTCCTATGTTCTTAAGTCACTGCAATGCACAGTGTGAAATTGTGTTTTCTCTAAAAGTACGTAGTCTTAGACCCTTTAAGGATATATTTACTGTGCCTTTATTTCAGGGCTGTTTGTGTAGTGAAATATTGCAAGTGATTCACAAAATCTATGCTTTTCATAACCTCACATGTAGCTGCGCCATCATAACGCTGCCATAATCCCCAGCTGGACTGATTCCTTACAAATATATACAATCTTTAAGATAATCTAAAATATGTGATCACATGTGAATAGATTTCTGCCATGCATAAAGGGTTAGCCAGCCAGACCACTGAATTGTAGCCTGTTTAACATTAAAGGCTATTTAATCTTTAATATAAGTTCCTCTTTTGAAACCATGCTTTCCTAAACAAATAATAGTGACTATTGACACACAAGACTTTGTTTGAAATATTCTAATTTGGAGGCAGATCTTCTTTTTCTCATATGCTAATGTTTAAATGCTGTAGTAGAGCCTTATCTGTAGGGCTGTAAGATCATGATAAGTTGTATAATTAGACAACAACTTTCGTGGCTGGCTGCCAGTTAAGCGCTGTCAAGTAAGAAGAACAGTTGGAGAAAGTCAGAATAAACGTTCAGAAAACAGAATTTAGTCTCCAGCCTTTAAATGGCTTAAGAAGCATTCATAGATTTTCTCAATAAATATTGTGTAGAGTGTGGTAAATTAAAGTTTACTCTGGCAGATGTTTTCCAACTTGATTGCTTGGAACTATTCCATCAGCCTTTCTCTACCTATAGGATAATTGTAAAAGAGGTGGTTTCGGACTGCTCTGTCAGGAGGCTGGGGGAACTTGCTGCGTTTGGCATAGTTGGACAGTGTCTGTAACTAGATAGAAGTGTAACACTTCTTAGGTATTGTTTTATTGTTCCTTACATCTGGAAGTTTGTCCTCAAGATGCAGCTACTAGCTTGTCCCACAGCACCATGGCTGTGAAGTCCTTTGCCCCTGTTCTTGATAGAGCCGTTCATGAATAAGGAAAGCTGTACTGCTTTCTAGTGACTTAAGTACTTGCTTGGGGAAAAACAAAACAAAAAATCCTCCAAAGGGTAATTACGAAAGTTTTCACTATAACTTGAGATCTGAGTTGATGAAGAGGAGCTTAAGCCATGTATTAACATGGAGAGAGAACTGCATGTGTGCAGATTCTGAGTTTACGTGCACCCTGAAAGTTTTCTTGAAGATAGTGAAACTCTTTGCGTTTAGTGGATGGTATGCATTGGGCTATATGGCTTATGATAAGCTGTTTCAGTAAAACTTGAACATATTTTTGACTATTATGCTATTTTCAATTGACTTTTAAGGCAACTGTTAATAGTGCTATGAAGCACGCAGACTTCGGGGGTGGATCTTAGTAGCTGAAGAACAGTAACACAATATGTGATGGTTAGTTGGCAGCATCTAAACTGCAGTCTGTGGAGGAAGTAATGCCTGAGCAAGAATTGCAGGATCGGGCCATTGTTTAGGTACATGTTTAGGGAGTGGAGTCTGTGTCATTGAGCCTGGACATTAGTGGGAAGAATTGCTGGAGATTCCTGCGGGCTTGGGACCAAGCAGTGCTATTCAAAACCTACGGTAGATGGCGGCACAGCCACTGTCTGGTATCACCTCTGCCCGAAGTAAGTGGACAAGAAGGAGCTGGATCCACAGCTGCATGAGCTAATTTAGCTCAAGCAAAGCTAAAAGGGCTTGCGCCAGCTCAGAGGCTATTAATTGGCCTTCTGAGCATTCACAGTGGGTTAATCCAAACAGTGCAAAGGCACTGCAGTTGCAGGGTAAAAGAATTCACTGAGGGAGCTAGCATGAAATAATTAGCTACTTCTCAGAGGCTAACCTATTCCAGGCTTTTTCCCCCGAGTATGCAATTATCTTTTATGCATAGCTTTAGGGTCTGCTGAAGTCCCTGACAGTCTTTGGTTTTGCTTTAGTTAGTGTGGGATCAGATTAGTGAAATAGTGACTAATAGCAAGAAAGTTCTGAGCCTCATTCTGTAGTCCAAAAGATTGTAAAAAACTCGTCTAATTACTAGAAATGCTGAACATTACTGCTGAGGGTTTTAAGTGTGTGTATATATACACATGACATATAAATACAGATTTGTACTATATATTGGGTTATATACATAAAAATAGCATCAAATGTGTTTTGGTTAAGTATACTCTGGTTTTTGATTATACCCCTGGTGTAAAAAAAATCATAAAGCTTGATCGGTACCTTAACCTCAGCTGTAAAGCTCAAACTAGATTAGAATACTTGGTAAAATATTTCTTTTGCTACTGAACATTTTTTAAGCCAGCTGTTTGGGGTTATTGACTCCTCATGAGCCTGTGTTTGTAAATTAATGTGAGAACTTTTCTCAGTTTTTCTGAAGACTGATTAGTAGGTGTATGTGTTTTGTTGTTTTACTCTCTATAGAGACCTGGTTTATTTTTTCACATATCAAAAAGACTTAAAATGTGAAATAATACCATTTTAGTGAAGTAATTTGAAACATAGGGTCCATAATATGAAATGTATACGTTCTTATGGAGATGATTTCTCACTTTAAGTCTTTTTTTTTTTTTCTCTCTCCTCTGCAGAACTCAGTTACATAATTTATAACCAGCAGTATACAACCTGAGGCACTTAGGATTTATGACTGTGGAAAGAATTGTACTATTTAATGTCTACATGACACTCTCGTTTTTTTCCTGCCTTGTAGACCCTCCATGCTGATACTGTAGGCCTGTCATAAATCTGTTCAAAATATACAGTTGTAAGAAGTCTTTTTGTCTTCATAAATCTAACTTATAGCCACTTGCAAAAAAGGAAGAGTTAGGGGCAATTGGAAGTTTGTTCTTAAAACCCCAGAAGAAAGAAACCAAGGGGTATACAGACTTATAAATGCTGTGCTGCTGCTTTAATGGGAGGGTTCTCAGGTAGTGACTCAGTCAAAGCTTCCCTTGAAGATGGTGTTACTTGAGTGAGCACTATAGAATGTACTTACGCGTCTGAAACATCTTGGATGCATTCACTTGCAGGATAAGATCCTCTGTTTTGAAATAAGGCGTTTTAAGATGACTTTCAGATGTCCTTGAGCTGTATGTGTGAATAGGGGCCTTCTCACTTCAAATGGGAGTCAGATCAGATCCTGAAATAGAGGAGTTTTCATTTATTCCACATAGCCTTTCATTTTGGAAAAGGAAAAAACCCTTCTATGAGCAAATCTTGGTAACCTGTGTGTCTTAAGTTAAAGATAGCAGGTACCTGTATGAACATGGGGAAACACGTTCTCTCATGGTGGATTCCTGACTTTTCCTCTGAGCAAGTAATATAGTTGCACAAGGAAAATAGGAAAATAATAAAAATATTCTAAATAGGAAAAAAAATGTTTGTAAACAATATTGTATTTCTATTCTTAAGCTTAGCGTTTGGGTTGATAGATACAGTGTCAGGAAAGCAGAGAACTTATTCAGTCAACCTGGGATTTGTTATAATGCTCCCTTCATGACCTGTTTTTATTTGCTTGTTTTCTCAGTTTTCTGAAAAGCCTTCTGAATCGAGTCCTTACAGTCCCTTCTTCCGCAAAATGGCACTGAGTTGAAAATTCAGTTTGCACATTTTGAACACTTGATACCATTGCTTGCAGTCGCCATAAGACACTGAACTACCTTATCCTAATAATCTGGGCTTTATCATTTAGTGACCTCTTTGGCACTTTGAACAGCACAAATAGTTTGAATGTTCATCAGCATAAACAACCAATGTTAGCTTGATGAGACTGCATGGAAAAGTAACCTTTGCTTGCTTTGAGCTATGAAAACCAAATTATCAGATCAGAAATGGAGGGTGCATTTAGTTAATGTTACCACACGTTTGCCAGTCAGTAGGTATACTAGTACTGCTAGTCTAACTGTATGTACTTATCAAACAAAACTTTCTTCGTTTGCTTTGAAAACTTATTTTGATTCAATATTTTAATATCTTGCAGCCTTTCATTTCTCAGGTGCTTTGAACACAGAAAAGTAGCCAATGGCACTTGCCACCATTAGTTGTCTTAACTAGAAAGATCCTTTCCTCTCTGTATTAATTGCTTCAGTTTCTAGTGCCAATTTGCTGCAAAACATCTCTGTTAGTTACAACATAATAAAAAGGAGACAGGAAACACTGTTACATGAGGTTTTGAAAAGTCAGCCTAGGAAAACTCTCTGTGTTTATGAAGAAAATTAAAATGTGCAAGGGTAGGAGTGAGGGGAAGTGGCTTAATCTTTAATCACTGAATGGATATTAAAACTGAATTCATTAGCTGAGTGGATTATTAAAACTGGTTATGCTACTTCATGAGTACAGAGCAACAAATGGAAGTTGCAGCGGAAAGAAGTGGTTATAAGTGAGCCAGGTCACATGCTAAATAATGGCTTTAAAGACACTCTTTGCTTTTAAATTAGGTCACTTGTGTTCTTTCTTTGAACATTCAGTTCTAATTGCAACAGTAAATCAAAGAATACACTCAAAGTAGATTCCCATGTAAGGTGGACAACTGGACAGTGCCTTTTTACTGCTACTAACACGTGCATTCAATTACTGGGTTGATATACTCACGGTGTCAGCTGTAAAGCATTCCCTTATTTTATAGTTAGCCTAAAGAATTATTAGCCTGTCCCCTTTCACATTTACCTCTAAATAATCTGTCAGTAGTGTATATCTTCCGCAGTTAAAGAGGAATTTTCACACACATCGAAGCTGACTTTAAAGAAAAAGGAAATGTTGAAACTACACCAATAAGTTTCATTCCTTTTCTCCCTCTCCCCTTTTATAATTCCTGGTGTTGTGCAAGAGAGGAAAAGGCTACAGATACTAGAAACATGAATGTTCATGAATTTTATATAAAAACAAAGATAGATCTTTCATAAACTTTGATTTAGTAAAGCAATATAATGCCTATTCCTTTCATGGTGGAAAACATATGTGAAGGACAATAAATTTAGTTGGTTTTTGCAGTTCCTGACATTTCCTACATGGGGAGCAGAAGTGAAAATGGAGGCCCTGAGGAGTCCAGTTGCTCTTCTTCTTCTGCCACCGATATTAGAGATTCAAACATTGCATAGAAATAAAGGAAATATAAGTTTTCTTTCAGGTTCCCGATACACATCTGTGCAGCTGTAGTCAGTGTGTGTGGGAGTTGGGGAGGGAACGACGAAGCATTTTGGAAGCATTCAGGATGTTGTTTAATTGGAATGAAGGCATGTTGCTAAGTGGAGGCTGAGTATAAATCAATGATATTGTGCCCGCATTAGAGGAAGGGGATGGGAAGTGTGACGAGTGCCAGAGCAACCCTAGGGAGGATGACAGGAAAGAAATAGGGGCAGCATGTGTCATGAGTGGGAGAGAAGTGGGGAGAGGGGGAATGTGGCTTACTCTTTTTGGCAGCTGTGAACCATCAGTGATGTTGAATTGTCCTGTCTTATCTCACTACATCATCAGATTGCTCACAGCCTGAACATGTGAAGCCATTAAGGTGCCTGTTGAATTTGTCTAAAAGTGTGTAATCGGTGTCAGGATATAAACTCTTCCCACTCCCAGTTTCGTTGTGTCTTCTCTGGCCCTATTCTATAGATACTAGATGCTATTTAGTATATGCTCTGGGATTCTCTTCTTCACATTACCATCCTCAAGAGGATTAATAACCTGCTTTCTTCCTAACATCAAAGTCAGTATGGACTACTTGCAAGGAGAAAGATGGGGTAACTTGTCCTTGGAAGTAATAAGCTATTTAAAGCAGCCACAAGCAAACCTGTGTTAAAGAAGAAAAAAGCTGGGGTTTTGTTTGGCTGGATTTTCTTAAATTTTTCACTATGGTAGTACTATCCACTATGTGTGTTAAGAGAAGCGTACACCTGAAGGACATCAAGATATCCTAAACTTCTATGTGTTTTAATCTTTTGAGGGTGGAATAGGGTATTTTTATGTCTGATATGTCTAGTATTATCAAGTATGTCATATTTTGTAAGCTTATCTTTAAAGTTTGAAGTAGTTACGTAGTCACAAGTTCATATATTTTGTAACGGTTACTACAGTGAGCAAGAGAATATATGCTCTAGAATAGGATACAGGATGACTGTGTTTAATATAAAGTGGATTTTATAAGACTGCAGTTTTAGTGCCACTTTTTCATACCTTTTTATGTCATTTTAGGGGATGTTAAAGCTCTGGATGTTTACTGAAAACAGTCTTTTGATGTCAACAGAGCAAACTTTGATCTTTGTGTATTTCCTAGATACTTATTTTTCCCCTATTGTTTTCCTGGAGGTAAATATTCAAAGTGTAAACCATGTCATTCTGGAAGTACCTCTCTCATCTGCATGAAGTATCTTAGTACCTGTGGCACCTGTCCCCTGGAGGCAAGGAAGCTAATGAAAACCTTTCCCTGAACTGTAACCTTAGCTGACTTCACTGTGTCCTTCTCCCCTGTCTTGGAGGAAGCAGAGCCGTGCGTGTGGCCCATGTTCTCATAACAGGACGCCCTTCCTTTGTCAAAACACCGGTGGTAATAGCTGCAATACAGAAATTCTGTGCTCACTGAGGATCTGTACCTGCAAAACTAATAGCAACATGAAAAGAAGCAGCAGCTGGAGTCTAG